AACATCCTCAACAAAACTTATTTCAGGAAACTTATTACTATTAACATGAGAAACAGCAATGTTCCCCAAAATACACACAACAGCAACATATTGCGGAACTTCAACGCTGATGTTGAAATGCCAAGTTCCCAGAGCAAGTAGGAGCTACTGGCCAAGCAGACAGAGACATCTAGTGGTGAAGCTGATTTCCACTTCTGTCAAAATAGATGGCTGCACGTCTTGCAAGGATTTTGCTTTTTGTTGTTTGATACAGTAATTTACTTTTTTAATTGATATATTTACCAAAAAAGAGACAGGCATCGACACAAAAAACCATTCTTTAATTTGACATCAGAACCAGCACATTCTAAAGGTAAATGCAAGCTGAGGAAAACCTTTTGATATTTACCTGTTGGCTCAACTTAAACAAGACAGTACCTGAGAACAGGTGTCTCATGGAAGAAGACTTTTGTATTTTCAAAGACAAGGCAGGTAACTAAAAATAGTTCAAATTTATCTATGTTTCAAGAAGTTCTCAAGTAACAATTCTGAATAACAGCCTCAAAAAAGTATTCTATGCCAGAAATGGGAGGAAGGTGAACTGATTTTCCTACTTCTCATCCCTGAATAAAAGTGAAACACCCCAGTAAATACACTTTAGGTTCATACCTTATTTTGAACTAAATGGTTACAATTATTGATTTTTTTTTAACTGAAATTCAAGCTTAGTACATCTGTGATGAGCAACAACAGAAATTGTGATTTTACACAGCCCCTGATGCAAATTTGCTAAGCTTTTACTTCTCTGCTTTCCAAAACAGGCTTCCTTTTCAAGTACCACTAGAGCGTCTGTCCTTCTTGCTGTCTCCTAAGGTCAGCAACAGTGTTACATTTTTAATCAAAGGGGTTACACATCAGAGATTATTTTTTTCAGGGCACTTTTTCCTGTCTGTGTAAACAGCTTGGTTGCAGATCAGCTGCATGTTAAGCTGTGACAAACTGTTTCTAAAAAACAAACAACAACAACAACAAAAACACACAAAACCCCCACAAAACAAAACAAAAAAACATACATGCACCAAACCACAAAAAAAAAAAAAAACACCACACTGAAAAGTTGGTATTATTTATACTGGTCTAAGTTTTGTGACAAGACATTCCTACCCTAGTTCAAAAGCAATATAACCAGATCATTCCTTGCTACTGTTCCCCTGCTTCACACAGGGGCCTGATTGTTTAGTGGCTGTCTTCTAGAATTCCATGCTCTCCTCAGCATTTAAACGTTAATATCTATCTAGCTAACAAGGCTTTTATACAGCACTCATATATTTCATATCGTGGACTGGAAACGGTCAAAGACCTTCAGAAAAATAATTAAAAAGTCAGTCTGGCTGAAACTGCATATATGTGCATACCTGCATACAGACAGTCCCTTTCCCGTCACACAATTTTTATCCCAATAGCCCAGAGATAATCCCTTATCTGAAACAAAGGGGTTAGGTTCACAAAAACATAAACAGCCTTGGGGGTCACCAAACAGGTGAGGGCAAATTCAATTCCCAACTTCACCTGAATCTAAGAAAAAATATAAGCTCACATCTACTACCTCTGACATCGTTGCTATTTCAGAAAACTAAACTATATGCACTTCTCAGATGTCCTGCAGCCTTGGGCAGCCCCCAAGACAGAGAGACCAGCATCAGCACTGACTTTGGTAGAAAGGAAGAACCTCAGCATACGAGCCCAACAGTCAGAATACTGATCTGAACAATAAATCAGAATCAATCTCCTACTTGAAGACAAACTGTGGAAGCAGTAAACAAATTTAATTGGCAAAATTTCAAAAAGAAAAGGTATACCTTGAATGTTACCATGAAACCCCGTTCCAGAATGACTGTGAACTATATGAGCACCAACAGCAGCACAAGCAAGAACGTAGCCTATGTCCAGTATGAACACAACAACAGTGTGTTGCACACCATGGAATATGACAAGCAGTGGATTTTAAAGGTTCAAAGTCTAAGACAGCATCAGAGAAGCACAGAAGAGTCCATCTCTAAGTCCATCTTGACCACACACATATTAAAAGTGAAACAACCATCCCTAAAACCACTCATCTCAAAATTACACTTTTACCAATTCCATACCTTTATGATACAATCAAATATATCAACTTTTCAAAGACTACTTCATGTAAAAGACAGAATATACCACATATGGTCAGAGACTTCTGAGGGTGAAATACAAAGGCTATTAATATGGCAACAGATGAAGTAAACGCTGTTATGTCCATTTGACTGTCACACACACTGGCATATTACATATGCTGACTCATTTCTGACAATGAAGGAGTAGAAGTAATTTCAACTTTATCATAAATGAAAGCAGTGGTTTCCACTTTGGGGACCTCTGGAGACCACATTACCTGGGATACAAAGGGATAAAAATCAGTAAAAAGTCAAGTTTCTAAAGAAGAAGGCTTTATCACCTGGATAAACTTGTAGTTTTCCTTCCCAGAGACAGTTTCAAGATTCTTCAAGCTTGCACAGTAGTCGAGCTAAAGAGAAATAACCACACAACATCAATAAGTGGGCTTCATGGAAGCAAATAAGCTAACCAAACCCAACCTAATCAGTAGAAAGTCTGAGAACAAAGTAAAAACTTATTTCAAAAGAAAACCTATTTCATAAGCAGATGTGATTAAGCTTTAAAAACACAACTTCAAAAGATACCTTAAATGCAAAAAGTCTTAAACACAAGTTTAAAGCTTGAAAAGCCTCCTCCTTTCTTTTTTTTTTAATCAAATAATTATTTGTGGCGAGAACATAAACAGCAGTTCATTTTTTTTGTTTGCATAGGAACAAATGGAATATCAAACAACAATTAGTAACTAACAATAGACCATATAAATTTTAACATGTTATAAACTGCATCAAAAATCATTTAAAACAGTTTTCCATATCAAGAAAGAAAACAAGCTATTACCTTATCTAAATTTATAATCAGATAATTTGGATAGTTTTTCACGAGAGAGACCACTACATGTGAAGCACTGCAGGGTAGAAGAAAAACATATTTTACAATTATACACTTAGCTTTAAGGTAACAAAGAGATGACAAATTACAAATAAGTTCAGCAATATCAAAAGTCCTCAGGGGAAGAAGGGGCTATACTCGAGAGAGGTGAAAGAGGAATTCAAAGATATGTGTCAACATTATTCTAACATACACTCTATGCATTATTCTAATATATTGTATACATAACTGCATACGGTTAAGAAACTAAAAATCAGAATAAAATTTCATGATATAATGAAAGAAATCAGCATTCCTCACAGTCACATAAAAAAACCCCCAACAAACTGTTAAATGCTATATTCAATTGCCATTCTAAAATACTTTTACACTCTTTAGTTTATACATTAGGCATCAGGGAGAACCAAACAGTCAAGTCTCCTAACCCATAATACTGACTCCCATCACTCAGCTCTCTGACACTGCTGTCAAGAAGCGACAACCAGACAACCGGGTGGCATTTCCTCCTTGGCACAGTCTTGTGTACAAGAAGCTCACCCCAAGGGCTCAGGTTTAGCAGGTGTTATTCACACACAGAAATCTAATCCTCACAGAGCTTCTGACTCAGATCTCACTGACGGCCTAAGCTTAAGACAGACCAGACCTTTCTCTGACTCCAGCAGAGCCAACAACACTGGGGGGCTGATATGGGAAATAGCAGCTGGCTCAAAGCACTTCAACCCCCAACCCACAAAATCTTTCAAGTTGGAAAAGACCTCTGAGATCATTGAGTCCAACCTATGACCGATCACCACCTTGTCAACTACACTATGGCACTGAGTGCCACATTCAGTCACTTCTTGAACACCTCCAAGGACAGTGGCTCCATCACCTTCCTGAGCAACCCATTCCACTGCCCAATCACTCTTTCTGTGAAGAAATTCCTGCTGATGTCCAACCTGAACTTCCCCGGCGCAGCTTGAGGCTAAGTCCTCTCATTCTGTCTCTAGCTGCCTAAGAGAAGAGGCTGATCCCCTCCTGGTTACAACCTCCTTTCAGGTAGTTGTAGAGAGCGATAAGGTCTCCCCTGAGCCTCCTCTTTTTCAGACTAAACACCCCCAGCTCCCTCAGCTGTTCCTCACAGAACTTGTGCTCCAGACCCTTCGCCAGCTTCGTTGCCCTTCCCCATACAACCATAATTCCGGCAGAGACCGAGCACCACCTCCCACTGTCAGCGCCGGGGGGTCCTTCTTCATCTTCTCGCTGTCCGCGGGCGAAGGGTGGGCGGGGCAGCACCCCAGCTCGCTCCCCAGCACTTACCACCTCCAAACGCACGGCGGGCCACCAGCAGTCCCTGAGCGAACACGGCCCGAGCCGGCGGCGGCGCTGGACCGGCCCGGGACAGGCACAAGGGAGAGGGCCCCGCGGGACCGCGAGATCCCGGCACGTGGCGTCTCACCCGCGCCACCCGGCAGGAGCCCGGGCAGGGCACTACTCACATGAAGCCGGCGCCGCCCGTCACCAGAACCCGCTTCTCGAACGCCGGTGGCGCCGCAGCACCCGCCCGCCCCGACATCGTCCGCGCTTTACGGCACCATTCCCCTCTCCCCCCCCACGGCCGCGCGTGCGCGGAACGGGCCCGCGGGTTTCACGGGCAGAGTCGCAGCACCTGCGAGAGGCTCATTGAAAAATCGCCCTCCTCGCTCCCCCCGCGGCCCCAAGACCGTAGCTCTTGCCGCCCCTTAGGGCACTGGCGCGGGCACGGCTTGCGCAGAGCGCCAAAGCTCCACCTCCAGCGAATCGACAGACGTCACCTCTTTTACGACAACGGGTCTCTCAACTTACTGCCGGGCCCGGCAACGGGACACGTTGCGGCAGGGGCGGGGCCTAGCCTCCCGGTCACGCCCCCAGGGGCGGGCACGTCCCCTCATTGGGTCTCTCTGCGCTCCCCCCCTCCCGCTCGCGCCAGCCCGGGAGGTGTCACGTGACCCGGTGGAGGGGGAGGGGCAGGAGGATCGCTGTGTTCGGCGGGTCCCGATCCTTATCCCGATCCCGGGGATGCGGCGGCGGCTGCTGTGGCTGCTCTGCGCCGCCGCCGCCGGCTGCTGCTGTTGGGGCCTCGCCGCGGGCAAGACGCTCCGCGGCGGCTTCGCCAGCGCCGCCGCCCGCCTCGAGCCGTGGCGGCCCGTGGCGCGCTTCCAGTTCCACGGTGGGTGCCCCGAGGTCGGGGAGCGGGAGAGCGGCTGCGCCGTCCGGGAACGCGGCTGCGGGGGGTGTGAGGAGCGGGGAGAGCGGCGGCTCCCGGGAGGAGCCGTTGGGCGGGGAACGGGGTCAGCCCCGCAGCTCCCCCTCTTTCCCTCCCTCCTTCCTGCACTCTCTCCGCCGGGATGCTCAGCAGGTCCGATCCGCTGTTCTGGGCAGCTCGGCCAGCAGCGGAACCTGTCCGGAGCGTGACGGGGCTGTCCCGAAGCGCTTGCAGAGAGAGTTGGGAGCAGCCCCGCGCTCTTTGTGACGGATGGAGAAGCGTCGCGCGTCCCCTCGTGTCCCGCAGCCTGGGGTGGGCACTCCCGTCCCAGTGTCCGGGAGAGCAGAGGCGTTTTAGCTGTGACACGCATCCCTCCTTTCTTCCCGGGACCCCGCCGAGCGGCAGCGATGCCAACGCTGCAGGTGGCTGTACCCCATCGCTCGGTGCTCCTGGTGTCACCACGCGTCAGGATGTAAAGTCTCACCTGGTTATTCCCAGTGGCTTTTCTTTCTTATGTTACTGACTCCTTGTTAGTAATAATTCCTGACTCTTAGCTAAGAGGCCTAGCAGCAGGCTGGGATCCTGTTGGAATGGCCACTCCAGAAGGCTGGAAACTACTCTCCTTGCTACAGAAGTTTTACTCTGCAGAAGGAAGTGTACGAAAGCATGACGAGTGCCATGTACGGTCAGCATGCTTTTCCTGGATGCTCAGCATTTCAGTAGCTTAGGCTGTTTTCTTTCCCATTGAGCCTCACGGCAGCAAGAGTTTTGCAGAGTGCTTGAAAATCAAATGGGACGAAGGAAAACATGACATAAGCCAAACGGAGTTGGAGTGTGACCTTCCAGCACTGAATGAGAGATGATAGATGGGGTGGAGACAGCTTGTGGAGTGACTTGAAAGCAGTTAATTATCACTGTCCCAGAAGATAATTGTAGAAGTGCTCTAAATAGATCTAAAGGGAAAAAAAGTGCACTGCTTAAATCTGAGGAAAGACTGTTAAGATTAAAGATGAGTTGTGTAAGTGTTCAGATATAATTCTGTAAATTGTTGTTGCATATTTGCTTAGAAATACTCCTCTTTTTACATGAATACCAACAACTACTTTGGGTCTTAATGAAGCTTGTTTTAAAATAGTTCAAAATCTTAGGCAAACTGTAGTTCATACAACATTTTACAGATACCAGGAGATCACCTTATCTGAGGTTTTATTGCAGGACCACTGTCTTGCAGCTAGCTGTGAACAGCAAACCATCCTTATTTGAAGCTAGTACTAGTCTGTTGGCTCAGATCTGGCTGATGCCAAGGTTAGGGAGAAAGAAGATTACTCTTACAGATAAACATTCAAAGCTTGCTTAAGCTTGAACGGAGTTTGTGCTCTTGCAGTACCAATTGATTTTTCTTCTACATTAAATTCTGCCTTTTAATTTAGGATACTCTTATGTTAAAGAAGTCTATGGCAATATATGAAAGAATTTATCAAAATAAATTTGAGGATTGTAGAATTACTCAGACAAGATAAATTGTGTCAAATTAGCTAGTTCTAAAATGACTAAAATATTTCTGTGTGTCAAGGTGCAGCCAGCTTATAGTGACAGGAGAAGGAGTAGTGGTTTCAAACTGAAAGAGAGTAGGTTTAGATTAGACATTAGGGAAAAAATCTTTACTGTGAGGGTGGTGAAGCACTGGAACAGGTTGTCCAGAGAAGTTATGGATGCCCCATCCCTGAAATGTTTAAGGCCAGGTTGGATGAGGCTTTGAGCAACCTCGTCTAGTGGAAAGTGTCCCTGTTCGTGGCAGGGGAAATGGAAACTACATCATCTTTTAAGTCCCTTCCAGCCCACACCATTCTGCCATTCTGTGATTCTGTACGTAGATTGACACATGAGAGAACGCTTTTGAAGTTTGATTTTCTTTGTATCAATTTGACATCTGTCATCTCTGCAATTAAGTATTTTAGCTCTAATCCGTCCATAACATAAAGTCCATTTACATAAGTTCTTCTGGTATTTCTCTTAAGCTCTCTTAAGAGCTACCCCACGATGCTTGTAATCATGCCACAAAGGTCATAAAATACTAGACTTTGAACCAGTTATTGAGGCTACTAAGGCACTGTCTTTAACTTGAGAAAATAAAATGTGGGGTGGGAGGAAGGAAAGAAGAAAAAGTTATCTGGAAGTCTGTTGAAAAAAAAAAAAGAGGGGAAAGGGGAGGCAAAGCAAGGCTTTTGTAGTAGAGAAGGTTAACGACATTTGGGTTATGTTGAAGGTTTGTTTAAGTACCATCACAGGGAATCGTGCATGCGGTGTTTTGTTAATGAGATGTATAGAAATTGTTCCTGAAAGTCCATAAATACTTTCATTAGGAAGTAGTGGTAAAAATTTAAGAAATTATGTGAAGCTGTAGTGTGGCTACTTATAAAAAATCTGTGCCACACCGTTTGCTTGTAACTGACATCAAGGCAGAGTTGTTGATTTTATTTTTTCAATATCAAGGTGATCATGCTGTTCTGTGTGTCAGAATCAAGAATGTGGCAGTAGCTGTGACAAAAGCAGCTAGACTCCACCTCTTTCAAGCACAGGAATGGCAGAAGCTGCAGAACAATATCCAAGATCACAGCTGTACAGGGAAGTTCTCTAAAGCTCAGCTGACAAGTAAGTTGCTACTTTCTTCCCCCTATAAATTAAGTTACTGGTATATTTAGAACCCTATTGAGTTATCTATGTGTTTAGAATATTCATTTCAGTGAATTTTTGCATCAACCGGACTTTGGCCTTCTGCAATTAAAAAATACTACAAGGAAATAAAATTGCTTTGTTTGCATCACTTCAGAAGACTTTGTTTTCAAGCTGTGATTTAGTATACTGCTGGAAAATTAAATCCTCAACAAATAATGAATTTAATGCAAACAGCCAAACTTTATGACCAGTTCTAGCCTCACGCTCTCACTTGTTTGCAACTCAGAAAGGGTACGCGTTCGGCTGAAGTTTTCATTTAGTCATGCAGTACAGAGATTTTTCTTTAACTATGCTTGGAGTAAAAGTGTGTCTTTTTGGTTTTTTAATCTCAGATTTTCTCTTAAAAAAGATTGTCGTGAGTATATGAAAGAATTTACAGAGAAGACCATTTTCCTATGAAAGTGAAGAACTTGAGAATCTGCACAGTCAAATATACTGTTTGAATTGTAACTTTTATTGCAGTGGACTGAAAAAAAACTGGAGGCAAACTGCTGGAATCTGCTCCAGTTACCCCTAAACTTCTGAAGTGAATGCTTGTAAGGTGGGAGTATGTATCCCAAGTACAAAGTAAAAGGGTAATTTTGTACCTGCAAACCTTCTCTTAAACTACCTCATAATAAGTTTTTCTTTTCTGCAAAAATTAATCTGCATTATGTTGCCTTCCTTTATAACTTGACTCTATTATAACTCAATGTTCTTTCACCCCTTAATTTTGTAATTTAATATTCATCACTGAATCTCACATTCAAATGTTTTTAATATTTCAGCTGAGATTTATACCAGTATACAATATGTAGATTGTCTTTTTGTCTCTCATTTACAAAGGAACATTTCTCATTTGTCAGGAGGCTTCTGTTCTCCAGTTCCATGGCAATGGCATTTTCAAAGCTGAGAAAACAAAAATAAAATTACATTTTCATGATAGCACTAACCTGTCACGCTTTGATGTACAAAACATGTTAGAAAATTTTTAATACAGTATCAAAGATGAGCTAATCAGGATAAAGCTTAACGAGTACCCACCTAAATGTGAAAAAACAGTAAAACACTGAAGCATTGAGTTATGTAACTGGAAGACAGACTGAAATAATAATTTTTGCACTATTTGTTAATCATAATAGTACCAAACTTAATTAAAGCATAAATATTCCTCTAAGAAATTAAATTAATATGAGAAGCTTCGTTCAAATATGTCTTAAGTGACTACAGCTTCTCTTTTAAATACGTTTCCTCTGTGCAGCCAGAATCCCTAGAGTAACAGATTGATCTCCTATAACATTGTCATAATGAAATCTTATACAGATGTCACTTCTAAGGGTGTAGTTTCCTTACACTTGACAAGAGCTGCACAGAAATGCTGCCAAAATAACTAGCAGTTGGTCCATCATTCCTGACTGTACTCGCTGTTTTCTGCTGTATTTTGGAGTTGTATGACCACAGGGTGAGTTGGATCTGTTTGCTGAAGTTGGGCAAAATGGATTACATATTTGTTTTATCTTACTTCATTTCCTCTGAGTTAGCTTACAGATTTGATGGAAAACTGATTAAACACGCTCTGTGTGATCCTTAGTCTGGAGGCAAGTAACACGGTGTCAGAACTCAGCTGAGAGCTGAAATGGAAAGTAAAGCCACTCCTGTCAGCCACTGTTTACCTTTCATTTGGATTAAGTACCACATGAAATCCTGGTTTGTGTGTTGTCCAAGTTTGTACTTCATGATAAGTGCTGCAAAGAAACAAATACAATGATTCTTCCTGGATTCTACTGTTGATCAGTTCATACCTTCAGAGAGCACAAAATAACTTCTTGTAGTTGAAACAGGTTTATTTCAGTTACATAAATGTTTTTCACAGGTAGGCTTCAAATTAGAAATTAGTTCTAAATTTTACCTACAAAATATTTAGGGAAAATGAATTTGTTAGAGGATTGTTTTATATGTATGTTTGTGGCTTTTTCATTTAGAAAAACCTTTCATAAAAAAACTTGGTTTGTAGGGTTTTTGATGAAATTTTTCTCTTTCTTCATCCCTAGCCATTGTTGTCCTAAACTATTAAGGTGAATTAATCTACAGTCCAGTCATGATATTGTTATTTCTCCTACAGAGATGACTTTCATTTATGGCTGTGCTGATTAGCACTCCAGTTCAGTAATCAGTGTAACAGTACTTACAATTCTTGCAGTTTCACCCAAACATAAAGAGCCACAGGTTTCATCTGCGTCAGGAGTTTGTTTTGGAAAGATTGTACTTCCTTAACTGTTGCTTTTAGGAAAAATAGTGGCAAGACCAGTGAGCAGATGAAACATCAGTCTCTTACATAGTTGTTTTTAAATGTAATCTGATTGAAATACACAGTTTTATTTAGCAATGGTTTCATCCCTTAACTGTCAATTGAAATTTAGTATATTACAGTTTGGGGAAGGTGCTGTGAAATATGCTACCTTGCACCTTTAAAACATGCATGCTGTTGTTTACAGAGCTCACATGCAGGTGTTCCTGTCCGGTGCTCTAAATCTCTTTGAAAACAGAGTAGAGTAAATTTCACAAAGGTACATTTCATGCTGCAGAAGTATCTGTTGGGCGGTACAGAATAGCTAATCCTGTCAGTACTGTTCTGGAGGGTGGAAGTGTGCTAAGCATAGGAGACACAGTTTGCATTTACTGACTTCTGGCAGAAGAGAACCCTCCCAGCAAAGCTAAAAGCTGAGAGGTGCAATGCGGTATGTATCCTCACCAACCCTTGCCTGCACCTGTTTGAAACAAAAGATGAAATTGGAGGTCTGGTCTCTGCTGTTACGGCTAGCTTTCAAAATTGTTTTCTATTGTATGTAGTTTTTAACTTGTACATGATGTTGTGGATTTAAGTTTTATCTTCGTTCAAAGATGAGTCTTATAAAAGCAAACTAATCAAGTATGTACTTTTGTTTCTTTGTTTTCTTCCAAAGTGACTGTGAACCACACAGAGCAAAATCTGACAGTGTCCCAGATTCCTTATCCGGAAACATGGTATGTGTTTTATGTAGACAAGTTTACCTGCGAGGAGAATTATTCTGAATCCGAGGATATTCAGTTTGAAATGATCTTACTAAACCCAGATGCAGAAGGGAATCCATTAGATCACTTTAGCGCAGGGGAATCGGGTAAGATTTTTTTTCTTAAAATTAGATTTGTAAGTTAAGGATCTGATCACTCAAATCAGTACTTACTATGCTTGGAAGAGTATGGGGAGTGGATAGCAGAGTCTCTTATATTTCATATTCTGCATTCTTGTGGAGAGTAAACTTCATTTTCTGTCAGTACAGAAAAATCCTTTCCTTTCTCGAGACTGACTTTCCAAAACTCACCTAAATGGAAGTATGTACGCACAAGGAAAATCAGTGTTAACATCTTTGCTGGTCGGTTTTTTTACCATCTTGAAATTCTAATCTTCCACTTCAATGTGAATTTAATCCCTGATTTTAATGAATTAATGTAATAGCTGTGTGAAACTTGATTCTGTGCAACACGAGTACATATACGATAAAACATTTTGCCAGTACAATTCCAGTTCAATGTTTAGATTTTCCTGTCTTAGTCACAGGCTGCAGATTAGATTTGTCAGTCCTGATTTTGTTTTATTTAAGAAATGCAATTTTATATCTTTACATGTCCAAAGAAAAATCACTTGAAGTGACTTGAGACAGCAGATAAAGTTAAAATTGTATGCTTTGGATAATCCACCCTAATGCTTTGTTGCAGTGTGTAACATCACTGCTCTGGGAGGTCTCATCAACGTGTCACTGACCTGGGTCTGTTGTGAGAGAAGGGCCTTATAGGCTTAGTCTGCCTTCTTATACAGATAGAACCTACATACCCAGAATGAGCCTAACTGCTATGCTCAGAATCAAATGCCCTGCTGTCATTTGTGGTCTCAAGAGGATATAGAGGAAACAAAAGGGAGCTCCCTTTTTGAAAGGAAGAAAATATTCACCGAAACATTTAGCAGAATCTGTAAGAAAGTAGCACATTAATCATCTGTTTTTCAAGGCTTATAATTTGACTTAACCTCTCTTTAATTTCTTATTCTATAAGCCTAGTTGGCAGTTTTTATTTGATGAATTTGGTATTCAGAAGTGAATTCTAAGTTAATTTAATTATTCTCAAAAAGCAGTAATAGCGTTTTTTTGCTAAATCAAGGGGCAAAGCAGCAATAAGACATCATGTGGCCCTTTAAAGTGGTGTACAGACCTTCTAGAGAAGCATCTGAGCTCTGTACTAATTTTGTAGAAAGACTGAGTACTTGGAAACAGAACTCTAAACAGCTTACACTCTGAGGTGTGTAAATTTGCTGGATGCATGTGTTTAGATCTAACAAGTAGGAAGCAAGGTGAGCTGCATATGCCATGTCTTCCACATTTGCAGAAGAATACCTGTTTATTTGGAATTAAAACCTGCATCATTGCCATGAATCCTCAAGTTACATGCATGTCTGCTTTCAAAGAACTGAGGAGAATTTCATCTCTCTCATTTTTCATTTTTGTATGCATCTTTGGGAAATAATCTTTGTCATTTTTCCATAGAAACTTAGAACATGAGGGTATAAGAGAGAAGATCTAGCTTCATTTCTTGCTTCTTTCATGCAGGCAACTGAAAACTACATAGTTACATATGGTTTTAGTTAGGTCATCCTTCACTTTAGTTACTTTAATCTGTGGCCTGACAAAGGAGATCTGAAAGTTAAATGGACTGTAAGGAATGCATAGGAAAGAACTTGAGATTGTCACCTTGTGGTTAAGATGTTTGCCTTGAGAAATGAGGAGGCCTGACTTCTGATCCCTGGCAAGTAATCTTTTATCATTTTATACAGTAGGATTTTTGTTACATAAGATGTGGTATTGGTGTAATCTAGGATTTCTAAAGGCAGCTGAACAGGTAGAGAGCATTTTGAAGATCTTTGAAGTTAGGGAATTTTAAATTAAGGTATATATGTTTTATTTTCTCTGTCAATTCTAGGTTCATTGAAAGTCAGGAAACTTAGAGAAGACAAATTGAAAATTACGCTTCTGTATTTTTTTATAGTTGGTTTTCAATGCAGTTTTCTCCTAACTCCTTTTGGTCTCAAGACAATAATCCACACTCTGCCTGTGGTTGGAAGAAGCTTTCTATCATAAATGTTTAGTGTTTATTAAAAGCTAGTTGATTTTCCTAAAGAGTTTTCCATGTGTACTCACTCATCATGGTGAGAAACAACTTTTCCTTCTGAATCCTTGTGAACTTCGGTAGGTGTCTTCTGAAGCAGAAAGATAAAGAGTGAAAGAAAGAAAAAGTGATTTGATCTAAACCACATATTTTTGTCACTCATAAATCATGCTTTTTTATTGGTTTACAAGAGAAGCAGAGTGGCCCTGAATTTTTTAAGAGTCTTTATGAAGTTGTGTTCTTTTCTCCCATTTCACTGTGTGTGTGTCCAGAATGTGTAATTTTAGCCATAGAAATTATAATGCAAGCAACTATTTAGAACTCATCTGGTTCTAGTGTGTTTCAACTTAGATATTGAAATACGTATACATTACATTAAATGTATACATACATATGTATGTATATACATTATACTGAAATGTGTATACACATATACAGATGTGTACACATTATATGTGTATTGCTCTTCCCAATCTCTGGGTGAAACTGGTTGGAAGATTTTAGCAGACTTATTTTGCTGCCGGAGAAAGAACATTTTTTAGAATCTGATTCTGTGGGCACCACTAGGTTTCAAGGAAGGTTGGAGAAGGAAAACAGAAGTTTTCTGTGAGGAATGTTTATTTACCTGTTTTTGCTTGTAGCTCACTGGCTTTGATCCTTTGGGAGCTCATGATGGGTTGCAAAGCTTACGGACAATAAAAAAGATTTCCAGGATCCAGGTCTTAAGGGGAAGCATTTTACTGGGCTACTGCTAGACTGAAAATCAGAGGACTTCGATTTTGTAAATAATCTAAAAAATTTTGGGAACTTTTTTTAGATTAGCGCAAAAAAATTCCCACTAAGGACTAATTATTGTTTTCTAGTATTTGTGCTATTTTTCTTTATCTAAAACTTTTGGGGCTTAGTCAGCTGTGCTTCTTGAACTACTTTATGCAGAGGAAGAGTGACACCCAGTGGTTAAAAAGATTAAATAGAAGTCTGTTCTGGGTTTCCTTTATCTCAGATTGTGCCTTTACAGATGGAAACAAACAAAAGAGCTAAAATTGAGTCCTGTAATAAGTGTGTTTCTGACTGTTTAAATGGGCTACAATTATCTTCTGTGTGTCAAGAAACTGTATTCCACTTTATCCTATTTCTGTAATTGCTGCAAACCTTTCCTACAGTCAGAAAAGGTATTGTTGAATAAAAAATACTTTGTCAGATCAAACAATAATCAGCTCTCTGAAAAAAAGACGCCAACTGTCTTGGATAAAATTGACTAGGATTTAGACATTTTATCTGTACTGCCGCTTTTGGATGATAGTTGCTAAGTATTATCCAATGATTATATATATAAAAAAGCCATCTATTTTGGTTTAGTTGTTTTCTGCTGGTATAAATGTTTCTTTAGAAAAACTAAGCTGTATTTCTTCTTTTTCACAGGATTACATGAATTCTTTTTCCTGCTTGTCCTAGCATACTTCGTAACTGCTTGCATATATGCACAATCCCTATGGCAGACAATTAAGAAGCATGGACCTATGCATGCTGTGTTAAAGGTGTTGACAGTTGCATTACTGTTGCAGGCTGGTTCGGCTTTGGCCAACTACCTGCATTTTTCAAGGTATCTTTGCTCATTTTTGTTTTCAGTCTTTAGACTTGAAGAACAGTGTGTTGTAAAGATCAGTATGTGGTCTTGCCTGTGATGATTGTGACAAAACATAGGACTGACCTTTGAACTGCATCATTGCCTAAATGTACTTTTAAGAGAGAACATGCATTTAAGACACATCCACTTAAAAATACAACCTTTTTATTCTTTTATCAGTTATTCTAAAGATGGGATAGGAGCTCCTTTTATGGGAAGTCTGGCAGAATGTGAGTATGCTTGTCTACTGTTTCTTGCATATTCCTACACATGAATCCGCATAATACATTAGCAAATGCTGTTATTGGACTGTATTATGATCTTGGACCATATCACTGGATTTCTAATATAAAATACTAAAAATTGCTTTGCTCTTCCAAAAGAAAAAACTTTGGTTTTCAGGTGTTTACAATAACTGTATTTGAAGTTGTACAATTAGGATGTTTAGGATTTTTCAAAGGATTTTCTTATCTCAAGATTCCTTCATACAAACACTGAAATATGCCTATCATGAGTAAATGTTTCGGTACATGAAAAGTTTTTACGGAGTTTGCATGATTTAGAGAGGCAAACTGTTTAGGAAACTTAGTCAAATTTTATTGAGTGTGTCATTTCACTAAAAAATTAACAATTATTATAATAAAAAAGTGTTTTACAGCATGAATTACATTATTAGCATGATGCAAAAAACACTTGTGTAAAGATTTGGTGCTAAAAAAGCATTTTTCTTCACTGTATAGATATTCTGAGTTCCCACTGGAACTAAATTCCTATAATATCCCTTTCCAAAATGCACTAACTTATTCCTGTTGGATTCTTCAGTATTAAACATCGTTGTTGGGTAATTCGGCGTTTTTTCCTGTAGCTCACACTTGAAGCATTGGGGGTTCTTTCTAAGCAAATGCACTGCCTTTTGATTGACTTGAAGCACCCAAAGAAAGTAGTACTTTGATCATGAGATACTGTTGGCGAGTAACAGCCTATATAGAAAAATATTTCCCTTTGTAGAGTTCATTCAGAAGCCTGCAGTTGGAATTAACAGCCTCTTGATGGCACTTGGTACCACAGTAACTGCCTCTTTCTTGTTTTAACCATTTGAGTTAGCAGCTCCTTGCAGCCTCTCCAGCAACTATATTAATAAACTTTGCCTCTCATCTCATGAAATGAAATTAAATGGAGAATATGGAGGTAGGGGTAATTCCTCCCCAGTGTTAACTATCCAGCCAGAACTTTAGAGAGAATAGCTGCATGTTGGATTTTCTATGTATGTGTTGTAGTCAAGAGCCCACTTTTATTTGGATAAAACAAAGATTATAATGAACAAAACAATATTTTTGAATCAATAACTGAATTTCTAAAATTCAGTTAAGAAAGTTTTCCTTTCCTACTGTCTTTAAGGTTTGTGGTTTCCAAAAGAATAAAACGGCAGAAGTAATAGAAAGGGGGAAAGCTTCAGTGGCAGTTACAATTCAGAAGAATAGCTGATGGGAAGTAGTATAGTTTGAAGGTGCTACCATGTTTCCTGTATCACAACAGAAATCAGAGTTAAAAATAAAAGTTAAAATTTCTATTAACTGCAGTGGAGCCAGAATGGCTTTTTAAAAGCCTGTTCAGATACTATTCTTTTCCTAATATGATTTAGTCTTTACCGTGTATGATCCTCAGTCTAATTTATTGCCTAAGCATATCACATAAATGACAGAAATAATGCTGGCATTCAGAAGCATTGCAAATAGTGGTCTTCTTTTGGTAACAATGAAATGTGAAAAGTCAAAGACTATTATTATGCCTGTTGAATAGCCAAAAAAGATTGATTGTGATGAAATTGGACAGTTATGGTATCAGCTCAGTAACATGTGACTTTACACTGACACTGGATATCATAGGATTATTGTAATTTTTTAAATTTTTCTCATTCTTGTTACTTTCTAGCAAAGTGTATGAGGTGTCAAAGATTAAAGCCGATACTGAATTTCTGTCTTACACAATTTTGTCTGTGAATCCACTTGAATTGTTGCCACACTGAAGCAGAGCAATATATATATCCAAGATGCAATTGAAAGATGATGTCAGGCTATGACTTATAGGGCAGGTTATCTTAAGGAGTGACAGAAAATAAAACACTTCCTGGTGCATCCAGATTTGTTCGGTCATTTCTCTAGTTTGGATTTGTGACACTGGTTTGGCATACCTTGGGTCCACGTAACAATTCTTTTTCTAGTGAGCACTGTGTCTCCACAGATAGCATCAGAAAATAATTCCATGATGATTTTGCCCAAATCAGTGCTCGTTCATTTTATTAAAGAATGATCAAGTTTGTATTTACTAAAAGCTCTTGATCCATCTTAAACAGCAAAGGTGACTGAATACATTAAGAAGCATTTAAGCATATAAACTGTGAGAATACCAAACATATCCAGGAATAACATGTTGAAGTCTGTTTTATATCCATATCTTGCTAGTATTGCTGAATGTCAGGGAAATATTGCAGCTGATTTTCACTGTATCCCTTGTATCCATATTAATCTCTGTACAGTGGCAGCATTTTCTGTGCCAGTATTTTTAGTAAATGTAGAAGTACATTTATCTTTTTTAATACAGTCCAGATGTATAAAAATACAACTATGTTTTTTTTGTGACAGAAATACTACTCTTGTACCTGCTAGTCTAAGTGAAAATTACAAATAAGGAACAAATTCAATTGACCTAAAATATTAATTAAACAAAACAGAAAGCATTGTTGTGTGTAGAGCCCAATCTCTAGTTTCTGAACCAAATTTACAATTTACATAGTGTAAGAATCAATAATTTTTGTATGTCTATTCTGTGCCACTAAAATGAGTCAGATCCCAACACGAGCTTTTAAGTGGTTTGGTAAGTTTCAATCAAAAACTAAAGCTAATAATCACCCATAAAGAAATCTTTAGGTTTTTCTACTGTCAGTAGTTCTACAGTGAAGCTAACAACTGAAGGCTTTAATACGTTCTAGCTTGAAGTTTTCTTTATTCAGATACAGTTTCATACAGCTTCAAACACAAGTTTGAGACACTGATTAAGAATGTAACTTTATGGAGTATGTGTTAATTGTTCCCAAACAGAGGTAAAAATGGACATAGCAAAATGAAGCAAAGGTGCTTTGCATTTTATAAAATGAAATACAGGCAAGTTGTTGCTCTAAATGAAGTTTGTGTTAGGGCTGTTCATTATATTTTCCCCTTTAAGTGTTTCAGAGTGGAATTTGCCCTAAATATTTGTGTTTTCTTTTGCAAGTTACTGCATCCTTAAGACAAAGTGCAATTAAAGTACAATGAAACTATCTGATTTTTGAACAGAAGTTCTTCAGAGCGAGGAAAGGAGTTCATTTCATCATGTTTCATATTTGCAGTATGATTAACATACATATGATTTTAGTTCTTTAGCATTTATAAGTCTGTTTATGTAGATGGACTCCTGAGCCCAGACTACTTTGACACAGGAGTGGGATTTGGAAGGTTATGGCACTGTGCCCATGTTCTTGCAGAACCGCAGCATAACTGGAGGAAAGCTGATAGTGATCTGTTAGGTAACTGGAAACTCCACAAAAATCCACATTTTGTGGCAAAGCAGCCTCAGCTAGTCAAACTATCATCAAAATTATGACTAAAGGCGATACAGAGGCGTAAGCATCCATCCTTCGTTTGTGTGTATATAGAAAGTTCCTCTTTGCTCTAGGAAAAAGAACTTTATTTTTATTGTGACTCTATTCATTTTTCTTTTGTTTTCAATAGTGTGTGACATAGTCTCACAGATACAAATGCTGTATTTATTATTGAGTCTATGTATGGGTTGGACAATAGGCAGAATGAAGAAATCTCATGGCAGACCTCTTCAGTGGGATTCCAATCCAACGTCTACTGGCATTGCTGTAGTAGTTGTTGTTACACAGGTTTGTATTTTGTATTCATTCTTATACTGAAATATACAGCTGCTATTAAGTATGACAGAACTGTGAACCAAAATTTCAATATTTTAATTCTATGAAGGAGGGAGTATCAAGACTGGAAAAAAGCCCACAGCATAATGTGCACCCAGTATGTCTAATAGGTAACACCACCTTCTCTTTACTTTAACAATTTAAGGTGTAGCTCCACAGTATGTTTTTGTTCAGCAGTAAAACCACTTAAGAAGTTCCCACAGGTTTCCAAACTGCTGTTTGTGCCAATTGTTTGTAGCATTATACTGTGAACCAGATCAGTGGAATGATCTAGACTAGGAAAAAAGAAAAAAGATATTTCAGCACAGTCATTTTACTGATCTGATGTGTAATGTTGTAATCAGTACAACTGAGGTGTTCTGAACTGCATTATGGGGGGCGACAGCCAGCAGCATGAGCAGAAAGACAAGGAAAGCTGATGTAAGAAAGCCTTTCTGTCACCAAAAAATGAAAATCCTCAGTGCTTTCCTTTTGGAACCACTGAAATAGAATGTCTAATGGTCCTTTCAATCAATATAAGGGAAATCTTGAAAGGTTCATGAGCAGGATTGGTCTTGCAAGTATACAAATGGTCTGACACATAATTTCATTCAAATATTTTCCATTAGTATAAATTAGAAAGTCAAGTAAACCAGTAACTTAAAAGTAAATTATAATGGAGATTTCAACCCTGGTGGTGCTTTTTGTAAACAAATTTTTTTAAATCACATCATAAAGACAAGAGAATCTGAAAGCCATTGAGAAAGAGAAGAGCAAGGAGAAACTGGAGACAGTAATGAGGAAGAGATTATACTGAAGATTTTGTGCCATTTGGGTAGTATCTGTAATTAGTGTGGCTTCCAAACTAAGTCAGTGGACTGCTAAAACATTAAGAGTAGCTGGGAGCTGACATTTCATGCTAATTAAGAATATAAACCAAAGGCTATTAAGGTCAATGGGACTGTTGAAATTTAAAGATAGGTTCATTCCACCTTACTTTGACACCCATCTAGCACCAGAAATTTTACATACTGGTAGTAAAGGAGACTTCTAAAGTATTTAATTTTATTAATGCCTCTGCAGTTGTGCTTGCATATGGGTGTGTTAGTACTCTGCCACTTGAGACTGGAAAGTTTGTTGTTGTTGTTTCCTTTTACTAGACATAGAAAGGACACAGTATAATCAGCTTAATCTTTTTTTGTTTGTTACTTACGGTAAAAATTGGGCCAGATATCATACATATATGCTGTTTCCCCCAAGACTGGCCCATTACACATTTGTGTTTACTCTTGGAGCAGCACTGGAGCATTAGCACAAAGTTGGCTATCTTACTTTTCACCATAAGGCATAGCTCTATCACACCTCCTCCTGGTAACATTGGGAATGTCAGGTTTGGCAGGAGTTTTGTAGGAACACAGTATGGATATCAGAATATGTCACTGCCTGGGTGGTTTTGGTCCCCCATCTCAGTGTCCACTGTCTTCAGCAAAAGTTCCCTGACACCAAGAGTATCCCTGTCCCTTCTGGATAGGATATTTTCCATCTCATGGTTCAGTACATATAAAATACACTTTCTGCCAGATTTGTTCTCCTTAATACAAAGAGAAGCTGTTGAGCTCAGGGGAGCAGGATTTAGACTATCACCTCTATCAAGGGTGGTGATCTTAAGACTTCAGTCTCCATCAGTCAGTTGTTCACTGGTCTGTCTAGATTGACATGGGAGTTTGGCCTGCTGTAATCAATCAATGGGCACTTAATGACTAAAAACCTAGAATAACCTCTTTCCTGTTCTGATCTTTCCCAGAGATTCTTATGGGAGAGCCATCTTCCTCCTATACCAGAGTTTGGAGAGGCTTATGTGTATAATCAGAGATGTTCTGAGGACTTGTTGTGAACGCTGCTGGAAACCACATGCATTACCTTAATGCAGCAGATAGAGATTGCGCCATGTTAGTTTTATTGATGTTCTACTGTACCTGTCCTCATCTCATCTTCAGGGAAGTCAAGCAAGTGGACAGCCTGGACAGCATGTTATTCTTCAGCCTAACTGCAGTTTTGACTGGCAAACTGTCTGATCCTATTTGCCTGCTACTAGTTCGAATTACTCAGCCAAATTTCAGGATTTTTTCTCGTCTTTCTACAGATGCTATGGATTTTTAATTTTTATTCTTTCAGAAGCACTAGTAATTTCCCAGGCTATGTTTACAGGCTACCGTCAGTGTAGGGTGGACACAGCCTCCTAGTAGCAAATCTGTTGTGCTCTTTGCGGCTGCAAGGAAGTAGCATCTCGAAGGACGGACAAGTCTGCCATTCAGCATCTCCCTTTGCCTTAACTTGTTCTTTATTTCAGCCACAGAACACAAGATTCCCAGGCTGCTGTGCATTCATTAGAAATTTCACTCTGCTGCTGGGACACAAACCTTGTTCAGAGCTTCACTGACGGCAGGCCCTTTGTGTCACATAGACCTGAATAGTTTCAGCTTTCAGGGCTGATCAGAGAGGAGGCAATGATTCTAGAAAGATAGCTGATTGCTCTGAACCTGACCAGAATGACATAGAACCGTACTGCATTAGATGTCACGCTTCACAGAGGTTCTTAGGTGCACCCTAAAGGTGTGCTCAGAATGAGCTCTACCTCTGGCCTTAGCTCTAAATTTTTTTTTATTGTACTGGCATTGCATGGCATCAGATACCTGAGTACTAAGTATGGTTAAAAACAGCTAGTTAATCCACTTTGCTTTGCTGCTAGTTTTAATCTCCCTTTTGCTTCCCCCTTGCCTCTGAGAGATGATCTGTCCCATGAGAACCTGCCTTTGCTGGAGATTGATATGTTATCTTGGCTTGTCATAAAGTCAATGTTGGCATAGCAAAAGGAAGGAGGAGTTCTACCATAATTGTTTCCTCATGACAAAAAGGAAGAGTGTCTGGTTCTTCGTCATATGGATGTGGAGGTTCAGCTTGTATATCTGGAAAATCAGGATGATGTCCATGGCCATCACTCTTCCAGTATTTGAAGAGGAAGGTCAGTACTGGACAGTGGTTGGTGTCCACTGTGAACCAAGATAGGTCAGGAGTATGTGCAGGTGAAGTCAGGCATTCTGAATAGTGTATTATATAAACATGGAGATGGTCATTCTCTTTTACCTTACGAGGAAGCAGTTGTGACTTTAATGTCAGATGTAGCTGGTGTGAGTCAGCTCTTTAGCTACCTGTCTCATCTAGTTCTTTTGTCTACAGCCTAAGCACAGTTGTTCTTCTGGATAACAATTAGAATTGTGCCCTCTGATTTCTTCTCAGAGCTCAAACACAGTTCTGCTCACTGCCAGCAAAAAATATGTCTCTGATACCTACTTCAGCAGGTTGGTGTCTGGGTGTTTTTCAGCTTGTTCCTGATATTGCAGCTAAGTGAGTTGATAGTTGCCTTGCTGTGATCAAGGTGAGGGACTCCAGGGCTTATTGACCTTAATTTCTCAACTAAATTTCAATTATTTTTTTTTTAATTTTCTCAACTAAAGGGATTTTTACTTCAGGATCACGCTAGTGTATGAAAGCCCTTCCTTCATTGAGAACAGACTGCCTAATCCATTTTTACCTAGAAACACTCCATAGCACAGATTTCTCTTTTATAGGATCCTGGCAAGTGAAAATAGTCCTGGCTCATAGTAAGAGCAATGACAGATTCACGTTGTCCAAGTTTACACTGTGTTGCACTGACAGTTCCATCTCTACCTCTAATGCCTCTGCCTTCTGTCTATTTTGGAATAATCTAATGAAGCTGAAGGAAGCTGGACTTCTGTGATCTTACATTGCTGTCACCATACACAGCCTTTGATCAACTGATGTTGTGTTGTTTACACTCTTTAAAGGACTAGTCCGGAGCATACCCTGCTGTCAGACACTATTTTCCTATGAGGATTTGCACTTTGTTCTCATAATTTCTTTACTCCAGCTCTTTGTCATCTTCTCATGAAAGTGGCTTCCTTCATCGCTGTTACTATTGGTGTATATTAAGGAAAATTTAGACCTTTGTGAGCTCTGGTTTTTAAGGTTAGGTAGATCCCAGGCATAGCGTAAAGTTTCTTCTTAGAGCAGTATCACAGTTCCATCTCCATCAGCCTATATGGTTTCCCCCCAGATGCTTGCTTGAGCCAGGAAGATTCTATACATAGGTTGAGGGTTTTTTTATTTTTTTGAGCAGAATATGTACAGTCCAGGGAAGTTAAATACTTGGCAGTTCTCAAGTGTAAATATCAAAAGGCAAAATGCCTACAAGACTGCAGTGATTCTATAACTGGTAGAACTCTTGTTTGTTGTCTGAACATGTTCTAACTGGACTGAAATAACTTCTGTGATAGGAATTCATCAATTTCATGCCAAAACTAATGCTATAGACACAATGTTACCAGACACTGTGCTGTATCTCCTGGATTGGGGAGCAATGTAATCTTATTTCAGTCTTAGTCCTTGACAGAGTTCTCAGTCAAGTAATTTGATCATTTGAAGATGTTTGCTTGAAGTTACTCTATTTCGAGCATTATGGTGGGAAGATTTGAAGCCTATTGGTCAGATTGTTTACTAATAATCAGCTGTATTGAAGATGTGCACACTTTACATCTGTCCCTCTTCCATCCTTCTTCCATTTTCCATCCAGGTAGTTGAGAAGTGACTGAAACAACAGCAGCTGTGTTTGCTGTGTTGTGACCTAGGTAAGGGAGGGGGGAAGCATGAGAGTACCTCTGAGGATATTCTAAGCGATAATTATTCTAATACTTGACTGATGAGGCTCAAGGACATCCACTTTTGAAAGGCACAGGTGGATTACACACTTTTTAAAAATTTAATATCAGTAACCTTTTTGTCTTTATGTAGTTAATGTAGTGAGAAAACCTTTGAATGTGTTGAGAAAGGAATCTGACTAATTTATATTTCTAAATTGAGCCATACAATGTCTGCTTCTGAAGGCCTTGAGAGCTACTTCACTCATAAATCAAATTTGCCTACCTTTCTTCAGAAAGCCTGCTTTATTAGGCACCTGAAGCCTCAGTGCAAGTTAGATGTGTGCAGTAGGTGGACTGGATTCCAGTGTATATTCAAGTTTTAAAATACCATTCAGCTGCTACATAATGCTGTGAGAATCTAAACTTTACGTGTATTCTAATTTATAATGTTAGCATTCCTAAAGTCTTAAAAAGGTGTTCTTCAGCAAGACACCTTTTTTTATGCAAGTAGGCGCCTGCCTTCTTCCCAACTAAGATTCAGAAACTAGGCACTTGTTAGTCTGTTTTTCCTTGGAGAATGTCAATATTCTTTCTCAGAAAATTGGATTCTGCAGTAAATGGATACAACACTGGGAGTTAAGGAGGATTACTATCTTTTGTGTAGTTATCTTTTGGCTAGAATGTTGTCCAGATGGTAGAACAGCATTTGGAACCTGTGACACTCCCTTTCCTAGACCCTGGCAGGTTTCTGAGCCAGTTGCTTGCAGAGCCAGGCTCGCTCACAGTTTCTGACCTAGCTGATGTTGAATTCTTTTTTCCACAATGGCACAGCTTCAATAGAAGGGGTGGAGAGTGGCCCACCCAAGAACAGCCTATAGCCTGGCAGTTGCGGCACTCTCCAAGGAGGTGGGAGATGTGAATTGGATATCCTTCAGGCAAAGAAGGGAATTGTGGGAGATCCAAGTTCAACCTGGGTGAATGCTTGAGCCTTTAGGCTATTGTATAAAAGGGGCAGCAGCACCACCCTCTTACTTCCCCATCTTTGAAAAGAAAAGTGAATCCTGTTAGGATTTTGAAAGAAAAGGCGTAGTCGCCTGCCTTTGAAACAAGCTTTACAGGTTGTGGATCACAAGTGGAAGGAGACACCTCCCTGTAGCTCTGTGAAATCATTTCAGTGGTCTTCCTGCAGAGTAGGCCGTGTGTTTAACGAGGTGATTATTCCAGATCTTCTTCTAAGGTGCCACATTGCTTCTATCCAAATTACAGGAAACTTTGACTTGTCAAACTTTCTAAAAGTTACAGAATTCAAGAAGTGAGACTGTTCCCGCCAGTTACAGCTGGAGTAATAGGTTATGCCAAAAAGCAGTTCAGACTGGGGAGTTTTTTGGTGTGTAGCATGGCAGTCTCTAACAAGCACAGTGGAGCATGACCAGATAACTTAATCTGTGATGGGAAGGTTATTTAAAATTTAGTGTAACCTTGTTTACTCCAAGTGTACTTTGCTGTCATTCTTTTCCAGAGCTTTTTGTTAATTTGGGAGCAGTTTGAAGATACAAATCACCACAGCTACCACTCGCACCATGGTTTAGCAAGCGGACTGCTTATTGGCCTCAGAGTTTGTCTGGCTTTGTCACTGGCTGCTGGTCTTTACCAGATTATCACAGTGGAGAGAAGCATGCTGAAAAGGGAGTTCTACATCACCTTTGCCAAAGTACGGGTTACATCAGGGAAACTGATCCCTTCTTCTATAAATGTAATTGTGGCATGCAGTTGACTGAAGCACTAAACTCTTTTCCTCCGTAAGACAGTTAATGTTCAAGTGTCTGATTTGATTACATTGCACCCTCTCATCATACTCTGAGTAGTCATTTTAACTTGACAAGGAGTATAGAGCTTTTTGAAACAGAAATCCCACCTTTCATTGTGTGGTTTTCATTCTGTTGATTGAAAATTAAACAATGGGTTCATAAAATAGAAATGTAAATGTAGTTCCTGTAACTGTCATCTCTTTCTTCTAAACTGGCATGTAGTCATTTTACAACTTATACTCATCTTCTTTTTCAGGCCTGCATTCTCTGGTTTTTGTGCCACCCATGTCTTGCAACCATTGCTGTAATATTCAGAGAATATCAAAGAGAAAAGGTATGTACAGGCAAGATAAAAGAGATGGAATTTGAATACTAGTTGTTCTTCATGTTTAGTGTTTGTTAGCAAACTCATGCTCTTAGGCTGTTAATCTTATGACCCCAAAGCAACTTGAAAAGTCTTAGTCACACAGCTCTCATTGATGCTAATATGAGTCATATTTTACAAAGGCATACAGGGTTCGAATCATCTAAGGGTAATCATTTCTAGGTTAAGGGAGGGAAAAGGGGAGATTGTTAAGTCAAAGGAAAATGCGGAGGGGGTGTTTTGTTTTATTGTTTGCTTGTTTACTTTTAATTAAAAACACCTTGAGGATTCTTTTTACAAAGGTAGTAGAAAGATAAATCAGAGGATTTTTTTTTTTTTGGTTTTTGCTTTTTACTCTTCCTCCTGTCAAAGCTTTATGTGGCTAAATAGGTCAGGGAACCTGTAGCTGAACTGCATTCTTTAGATCAAGAAGTCTATGTAAATATGTTGTTTGGTTTGTAAGCTCTAAACAGTTAAAAACAAAGGTAGACTCACTGGGTTTCTCAGTTGCTTAAACATATTGAGAACTAGGGAACTAAATGTGTGGAGCTTGCCATGTTCAGATGAAGTGCACTGCTATTCTCAGGTGATTGACTACCTCATTCCAGGGTAGGGTTTACTTCTTTTCTTTATGCCTATAGCCATCTGTGCATTTGTATGCAAATATATTCAGAAATTGAGCTTTTATTTGTGTAAAGGATATGTAAGGGAAAGAAAAAGGTTCCACTAAAAATATGTAGTAAATTAAATACTACATTTAATTTACAAAAAAAAAAAAGAATATGCAGAAAAAAATTACTCCTCTAGAGTTACTAATGAAGAGACTTTTTGTTGTTGCTTGATGAAAACCTCCTGAGGACAGGAGAACGATCTCTAGAGGTAGGATCAGGAAATGAATGTTTTTGCACTATTTTGAACTTACTGAAGGGAGAGTACAATTGCTCTGCTCTTGCATTTGAGCAAGTTTACCAATCATGTGCAGCTGCAGTTCCTACACTATGATAATTTAGCTGTGTTTGCTTCTTTAAATGCACATCAGTACAATATAGAAATGCACAATCAATAAATACCCTAATTACGTAATAAAAACATGTATTTTAAAAGACTCTCTCTACATAAACTGAGGACTTTTTTTTCCCTCAGAAACATTAATGCATTTAATAAATACTGCCGTGCACTGCTTTTACTGATGAAGAGACTTGAACTGAAAAGAGGTCTGGCTAAGTGAGATTGATAAATCACTATCCTCAAAGCTCCATGATTGTGCTAGTACAAAGTGTTTTCAGGCTTTCTTGGGTTTTTTTTTCCCCGCTCTGTTTGTTGTAAGAATAGAATATCTAAACATCACCTCTGCTTGTGAAACTGCATGGGTGGTGAATTGCAAGTCTGAAATTCCCCAGAACAGAGACTGCCAGAAGGGTTATGTGACTTGCCCAGGGCTATCTGCTGATTTAAAAACACCCAGGTGTGAGAGTCTGAATCCTGGACTTGAGGTGCATGTTCAAATCTTTTGTAACTGCAGCAGTATTAAAAGGTTTAAAGTTAAACACTCACACAGTATGCTGATAGAAATTTATTGTGCGTTGTTTGGTGAGAGGTTTTTTTTTCACCTTTTCTTTTTCTCTCTTTTTTTGTCTCTAGATTATTACCATAGGTGTTATCCTCTGTCAGTGCATCTCCATGGTTATCCTCTACAGACTTTTTCTATCTCATAGTCTATATTGGGAGGTATCTTCACTGTCGTCAGTGACATTGCCACTAACAGTATCCTCCGGAAATAAAAATCGACATCACTTCTGAGGTGTTCAGGAAGAATACATTATGTTATAAATGTGCAATAATGACTTAAATATACAGGTATTTTTGTCACGTGTGTGATACATTGGTTTCACTGGAAAACTGAGTGATAATATCAGAGCACTTCACAGGCCTTTGGTCTGACAAGGTTGCTAGATTAATCTATTAAAAGTGTTGGAGAGTGTAAAAATCTGTAATTTTAATAGTTTTATAAATATTGTTTATGTGTAACATCTGGTGCTGAGCTGTATCATGGAAGAGTACAATGAATCTTTTCCATTCACAGACACCAAAAATGCCCATACTTTGTATCAATACTAGGTTTGAAGGTCTTACAAAATGCAGTTCTTAAAACATCTACGTGCTCAAACAAGTTTGAAATAGGCCGGTTGTGAAATTGGTGTGATGCATAACGATGAGTACAAGGATTTTTTTATTTTCATGCTTTAGAGAAAATACATTTTATGTATCAGTATAAAAGATGGGGAAACAAAAGAGGGAGAATCCTCTAGAAAACACATGTAAAATGTTCACAACTGACTGCAAGAAACTTTCCTTTATTATTGGTGTAAAAGAAAAGCCTTTTTTGCAACTAATGTTCATACTGGTTAAAATTCTAATGGGAATATAAATAGGGTTTATATCTGCCTCTTTTTTTTTTAAATCAATGTAACTAAAAATTTCATCCAGTAATGCAGGTTTAAACAGTTTTTGAGGCTTAGAAGACATAGCAACATAAAGGTAATTAAAACAGCAGGCTTGCATCTTTTAAAGAAAAAAAAAGGCAAAGAAAATGGAATGGGTGATGTGGTACTAGAATTTTAATCCTGATATAATTCATTTCTGTTACATTGAGGATTCAATCATAATTAAGCCATATACACAGATTAAATTAACAGAAGCATTTCAAATAAATGTTGGTTTCAGTCATCAACTACCCATGAATTCCTGCCCAAGGATACTTAATCAGGATTAAATTTTCTATGAATAATTGAAAAACAAAATACTCACTGGATTTGTTATAATCCATGTTGGCACTGGGTTCTAAGTAGTTGCCATCTTCCATCCGTTGTAATAAAGCCATACTACTTTGTGATGCCCTAGCATTCAGAAAGCCAGTGTAAATATATACTTTATTGAAGTGCCTATTTATTGAGTATGTTTAAATCATGCTGACATTTTTTCCTTCATAATAAGAACATACCTATTGCTATTGTGAGTGAGTGAATTCTTTTTTTCTATTTAGTTAATATTTGTCAAATTTTAGACTTCATACACATGTGTTTCTTCACAAAATGGATTTTATTTTCTAGTAAATGAGTATTTGCTTTTTCTTAACGGTGTGTATTTAATTGTCTCTGTGAAAACACAGGTTCTAGCTTTAAAATAGCCCTAACTTTTCCATTCATGTTTGCCTTAGTTGTGAGCATAGTTGAAACATAAGTCTGTTCCATTTTAGTTTAGAGGGAAAACTAGACATTTGCCTTTGACTAAGGCAAAATGGCAACATGACAAAGTTGCTCATTAAATCATCTCCTTTCTTATTGTTTGTAATTCAGATCAAGAATGGCAGGTTGAGGCTGGAAAAGATGAGATATTATGATTTCACACAATCTTCAGAATGATTAAAAGATTAATTATTACATTCCTCTGATAACCACACAAAAATATTATTGGTTAAAACTTCAGTCTTTATTTCCCTGCTTATCTCTGTACTTTTCATCTTCTCAAGAAAAAAGCATCCTGTTTTTGATAAGTCTCCAGTAATGCAAGTAGAAGAGTTCTGTCTGTCTTCATGTATAAGACTTGAAATTCACACGTAAAATAGAATTTTCTGATAGACAGAAGTACTACTTTACAGTTTATGATCCATCATGATCAAAGTTTTAATCTATGCAGAAAAACCTCTGTGTGACTTTCAGAAGAGGCACTCCATTTGTTTTATTCTCCAGAAGTACTTTCTTACTTCCTGTAGTTCCTCTGACTTCAGTTACTCAGTATTATGAAACCATTTACCTTAATTTCTCCTTATAAATATACCCTACAACAATTCATAATTAATTAGTGTAAGTAAGAAACATGAGGTGTTGTCTCTTAAGTCTTGCCCAGATTGCCCCGTAAGTCAACAGGTAACATTGGTTTCTTAGTTTGGCATTGAATTCAGTTATTTGAAAATAAAATTTAATTTTGCTATTACTGTAACTAGGAATTAAGTATCACTTTCACATGGTAAGTGGTACAAAGGACATGCATTTCTGCCCAGGTCTATTAACAGTCTTTAAAAACCAACACTCACCAACCTTATGTTGTTAAATAACTATTGTGCACTGTAGCAGTACGTCATCATGACTGCAGTGATATTCAAGACATCAGTTAATTCAGTGGGGGGAGTCTTCAAGTATGACTAGTTGACAAAGCTTCATACTTACCTGTACTCTAGGTTGTAGCTTACTGCCTCTGGATCATGCCAGAAGAGTGGTTCAGGTATGTGAAAGCCTCTCTCTTCTTTCTAACTTGCATCTCCTGTGAGACCAGCTGATAAGACCATGGGTTTTTTGTGTTTATCCACTCTGTTACCCATTCTATCAATTTGGTTTCATAACCTCATCTTGAAAAAACAGCTTCCAGCCATCTTTCAGTTTTCTTCAATCCATGCATCCTGACTTGAAAGCTTTTCTTCTAAAATGTGCTTTCTGTCACCAAAAAAAAAAAAAAATTCGTTTTCTGTCACAAACTGGGGCTTTTTGGTACACCTGCATCAGCTCTGCATTAGGTGACAGCAGTGGACAGAAGCACTCCTCCGGTTAGGCTGTAGCCCCACTGTGTACCCGGTGCAGGTTTGGGCCCACTGAAAGCTGCTGCACACCTGGGGAATTCTCAGGGAGAGCTACACCAGCTCCAGGCTCCCTGCTGCCTTACCACTACAAGAGGCTGGAGCAGGGTCCCTCTGAAGGCAGCAATTCTGTTGCTGGCCATGACGAGCAGCGCTGTCGAGTTGAGGTCAAAGGATGACATCTTGAGAGTTTCTGTGCATTGTGCAGTTCTGTTTGAAATACAGTTGGGCATACAGCATCTGCTAATTCTATTGCCCACACATTTTGGTGCTCAGAAAAGATGAATGTGTATTGACATGACTGCAAACTGAAGTTGGTTATGCTCTGAAGAAGTCCGCTTCTATGTGCAAGAGGGCATCTCCTGGCCAGCCATCACTTTTTCTGCTGGCACAGATGTCACTTTGTGTCAGTTATGATTTATTGGTTGGGAGGGAGGATCCCAGTTCAGGAGACATGAGGGTGAGATCACCAACTTGGTCTACAAGACCCCCCACAAGCTGTCAGGAGAGATCATCCTGCATTGCTCCCGCCCGGTGATGTGGAGGCTCGTGTAGTTCTAGGGCTCATCGCAAGTCACCTAAGCTACTTGCTCCTGTTCCGCATAGACGGTGTTTATTGTATATTTATTTAAAGTGCTTCAGGTAGGAAAATGAATATTTACAATTAAATATATGTAAATGGAAGTGGAAAGGCTTGATTGGAAAAATATCAGGTTTCTAATACATATTACAATACTAAGACCTCCCACACACAACAAACATTTATAGCCAGAATATTTCTTTCAATGAATATTTCTTTCTGGTTCCTATGCCAATGGAAAGCCATGGAAGTATCAAAATGTTTTTGTTTGCATCTCAATCCTCTACAGAACTGGAAGAATGTTTTATTTGATTTGGCTCTGGTTTATTCTGTGCAATGTTCAGCCTCTAATTGATAGAATAAATGTTTATTGGGCTGGCCAAGGCGGATGTTACGCTGTACCTTTTAACTTTTTGTGTGACTATGCAATTTACAAAGAGCAGGTGATACTTGTGAATGTCAAACATTAAAAGGGAAAGTATTACACTGTTCTTCAAAGGGTCCTTCTTTTCTAACTACAGTTAGATCCAACTGGGCTGTGATTTTCCAGTGAATCCGATTCCAGTTTAAGAAAAACCATTATTTTCTGCAAATCTATTTCCTGCCTTGCAAATTCTATGTTTCCCACTGCGCTCTGTCTCTGCCCTCCCCTCTCCCCCTCTCTCATACATATGATTTTGAGTGTAATGGGTGTCATTTCTCTCTGTATCTCTCCATCTGTTCCCACGATCAACACTCACAGTCCAGCCCCTACTTTGCATCTAGTATGTGTATTCTCTTTATCCTTGGCCTGTTTTGATTTCGCGCTTTTCCTGTCTCTCCTTTGCCCTCTCTACCATCTCTTTAGTCTCCCTAGCCATCAGAGACCTGAGGGTGTGGTTTGACATTGCAGCTAATTTGGACTAACTGTTAGCTGTCAAAAAAACAGTGTCCCTGTTCCCCTGGCTGCACATTGCTCTCGCTTCCATGGAAGTGACACTGGCTGTCACCCAGCAGTTTGAGTGAGGAGTTGAGGAGTTAAACTGGTACAAAATTCAACCTTTAGCAGCAACAATTAGTTCTCAGTAGTTTTAGCTCGCCAAACCAGGTCATCGGGCTTTGATGAGTGCTGGCACTCATGGGGATGGGGTAGAAAAGCACATTGAAGGCTTTGTAATGCCTCCATCTCTCTATTCCGTATGTTTTCTGCTGCATTTTGCATGCTAAGGATTGGACTGACCCCTGCCCTCCACAGCTGTCTTACAACAGGAGTGTGTCATTGAGGCAGGGGAGTTCCAGCAAAAGGAAAACTGTTTGGCTGATTTAAAGTATTCTAAATTGAACATGGTCATTTGTGCCTTTGCAGCCTTAAAAAGGAGCCAGGGGGCGTCATGAGCAGCCTCTAGTTTGAGAAAGTATTTTTGAGGGAAGAAAACCGTGAAAACAGCCACAATTTGAGTGGGCGTCAGTTTTTTCAACAGATGAGAGCACTGCGGTAGAAGGCAACCAAGGAGGTCACACAGCTTTTCACAAGGTCTGCCTGTGGGTAGGGAGAGACTTAATCCAAACATCTGCAACCCAAAGAGCAAAGGTTTCCAGCAGCGGGTACACTGGAAAGCTGCTTTTATCTATCGGCTTGTTAATCTGCTGAGATGTATGACTTGGGGAATCTGTGGTACGATGGCGAGGATCTGTCTCGCCTTGCGGTCAAGTGCTGGGGAGTTTGCCCAGACTGGTGATTTTGGCTTTTGCTGCTGCTGCAACAACAACCCCCCCAAAAAAAATTGACTAATGGAAACCAAAAACGAGCAATCTCAGGAATCTCTTCTTCTTTAATACCGTAGTTACAGCTTAAAGACTTTATGTGCGCCTTATTAGAGTGGATACTTTTTTTTACTTAGTTTCTCACCCTTCCAGCCTCTTCTAACAATGGCATTATTTTCAAATCAAATTTTATAAAATGAACACTGGAGTTGTTAAGAAGAGATCAAAATTTACATAAGACTTCTATTTAACCTATTACCTATGAAAATTTACTTCAGGCTGAGACATGTTTTCCAAAGTTTACAGCATACAAAACAGATGGTTTTTTAAAATTTCTTATGAGTACCTTAAATTGTGTTTTCTAAAAGGGGAAAAAAAACCCTTGGAACCTTACCAGTTTAATTTGCATTTTGGCTCTGATGTAACTCAAAATAGATTAGATTAAAAAAGGAAATTTGGCAAGTGATTACTCAATTACATGATTTTACTGCTTTGGTATTTTGAAAATAAAAATGAACAGATCTGTTTTACTTTGAAAAGAGCCTGGTGCACGTGTGCTGTAACCACTTTTCAGAAACCATATGGAAGGTTCCCTACTCTGCATGTGGCAATGCTACCCAGGGCTCAGATATGTATTCCTGTGATAGACTACACAGGATCCAGTTGGATCGGGGATATTATTGTCTCCATTCAGATAGTACTGCATCAAAGCAAGGCAGAGTGATCAGTTTGGTGTGTAAAACACAGGAAGTTCACAGTGACAGGGCTGCATTGCTCCTTTTCATAGGAAGGAACTGAAATTTCTTGGAGCTAGTGCTGGGCCAGAAAGTTAGGTGGAATTTGGGGAAGAGGTACAATTTATATGGGATCTGTATTTTGCAAGATAAAAACCATGAGCAGCATCAACAGATGCTTTTAAAACATTTCGTCATCTAGAGCTACAGATATTTGAACTTCTCTGTGCCTTCCTAGTTACCCTTGATTCCCATGCAGTCATGTCTCCAGCACTTCTCTGATATCTTTTCACCCCTAGCCTTCATACCAAGGGAAGGAAGCCTCTGCTGACTCCTGGAAGACCGAGCAGGTGGTGACAAACTCCCTAAAATAACAAAGCATTGATCCTCCACATGGTGAGGGATGCGGTGGTACTATGCCTTAAGCTGGGTATCATCAGGGTTATCTGTTATTCCCATCGCTCTGTTTTCATTATCAAAGTGATAGAAGGAAATGGATCATCTGTCCCTCCATCACTGATGTGTCCCCTTGGGGCCTCTAAGGCTATTTGTGGCTTTTGGGTCTCTGATAAATACAATAATTTTGCATATATATGTTTGGTACCATGATCTGGTCACTTGCCTCTCCTGCTCTATAGACCCGGTTTGTTTCTTGAAAGCTCCTCCACATGCGTGTATGCAGCTGTCCCTTCAGTGCAAGGCATCACAGTATGTGTCTGTTCCTCCAGCACAAAGCCAGTTTGCATGGGGAGAGGAGGGATTTGACCAAAATAACGGCAACTTCAAATTACAGACACCTTACTTAGTGCCATCTCTTCCCTGGCAAAGTGTAGCTCTTCCAGTTGGTTTTAGTGGGGATTAAGTCCTTAAGAACACTAATCTTGGTGTAGTAATGGCAATGCAGAGCTAAAGTCCTGACACATGAAGAGCAGAATGTGGTGGGCAGTTGTTAGAGATTAATAAATTCCTTTTGAAAGAGTGATGTGGAATGGAGGTGAAGGGCTACAGGATTTCACTTGACTACTGAGCCTGTGGATCTTCAGCAAGCCAGCCCTGTCTGAAGAGGGGTCACTACCTAGATGTCCCTCACACAAACAGCTGTTATGGAGGAACAATTGTCCTGCTGTTGCAGCAGGGAGACCCTGCTTCTATCTGCTTCAAAGTATTTTAAGAGTTACATGGCACATTGGTTGTCCTCTCTACATCTTTGTTTTAACTTGGTTGTCCTCTCTACATCTTTGTTTCATCCTGCTGCCTCTTACAAGTAACTGGGTTTGGTTACTATATACCTAATATTGGACAGACCTGTTTCTGAGAAGTCAGTGAGACAGATCTTTGCTATTCAAAATAAAGTGCTTCTCAAGACTCTGAATTTCCTTCATGTCTTCACTTTTCTCCTGTTTAAATGTGAAGCAATCGCCTTCAGGAACCTCCACTGCCATGCCATTGTCACTGATGGCATCAGTGCATGAGGATCATTGCTGCTTCTCCTCAAGAATAATTGAGTATGTTTGATTTTTCCCTCCTTCCTACCTTTGTGGGGACAAAGGATGAGCTCAGACCCTGGTCTCCCTCCCTCCAAGGCAGCAATGCAGCAACCTGTGCTGGCACTCTGTCAATGGCCTGAGTCATCCCAGGACTGAAAATGGACAGGAGAGGAGCTGACAGCTGCCATCCACCCAAAGAAGTCATCAGCCCAAAGCATTTCTGCAAGGGGAGAATGGCCATGCACGTCTCAGAAGAGTTGACCATCTTCAAAGAAAAAAAAAATCGGGTTTTTACCACTGAGTTTGAGATATGTAGACAGTAA